AGGACTGAACATCGACATGATGCCATATGGGTCGTTGTGGATAGGTTAACGAACTCTGCGCACTTCATTCCCTTTCGTGCGACTTATTCCAGGAAAGTTCTAGCAGAGTTGTATCTGGAGCACGTTGTCAGACTTCACGGAGTTCCGTTATCTATCACTTCATATCGTGACACTCGTTTCAATGTTAGATATTGGATAAGTTTCCAAGAAGCCATGGGAACCGAACTGAATTTTAGTACCGCATTTCATCCTCAGACCAACAGACAATCTGAGAGAGTTATTCAGATTTTGGAGGACATGCTTCGCGCTTGCATTCTAGATTTTGGTGGAAACTGGAAGAAGTATCTTCATTTAGCTGAGTTCGCCTACAACAACAGTTATCAAAGTAGCATTGGGATGGCCCCATTCGAAGCGTTGTATGGCAGACCTTGTAGATCGCCAGTTTGTTTGCTTGAGTCAGAAGATCGACTGACCCTTGGACCGGATGTTATCCAGGAGAATAATGAAAAGATAGTCGTGGTTCGGGAAGGACTGTTAACGGCTCAAAGTCGTCAGACGAGTTATGCTGACAGGAGGCGTAGACCCTTAGAGTTCTCAGAGGGTGATTTTGTCATGTTAAGAGTCTCACCGCGCAAAGGAGTTACCCGTTTTGGTGTGAAAGGGAAGCTCGCGCCGAGGTACATCGGGCCATTTCAGATCACACAACGAGTAGGTGTCGTTGCTTACCGCCTTGATCTTCCTCCGGAATTGTCTCACATGCACAATGTGTTTCATGTTTCAATGCTTCGAAAATGTCAACCTGATCCAGAAGCTATTGTGCAATGGTATGACGTGCCGATCCAGTATGACACGACTTACGAGGAAGGGCCCATACAGATTCTTGACCGGAAGATGAAAAGCCTACGTCAACGTGAGATACCGTTAGTGAAGGTGTTGTGGCAACACCATGGCGTTAAAGAAGCAACGTGGGAATTGGAAACGACGATGCAGGAACGATATCCGTATCTGTTCATATCGTGAGGTAAATTTCAATTTCAGG